CGCGCCGCCCGGTGTAACAGGGTGATCTTGCTTTTGCATAGCTTTGCATCTTTGCGCGCCGCCCGGTGTGACAGGGTGATGTTTGTTTTGTTTTCGCTTGCTCGCGCCGCCCGGTATGTGCAATAATTGAACAATGAAAAACAATGAGAAACCGATCTAAGGACCCGCGACGTCCGGTTTCTCCTTCCCCTGTGCGTGGTGGCATGGGCAAATGAGACCTGTGCGCGCTAGTGAGAAATGTGCCGGTGCTTTTCATCCGCAACGAAATGTTACCAAAAGGTCCCTGCCACATATATATATATATATGTGGTGGCATTATCAAATAATAATCTAATACAATATATACATCTTGAGAGTCCAAGACTATATGTTTAAACTGGTCTTGAGGTGATCCGGAAAGGAAATTCATTGACTTCAGTGGTCCGAAATATAGTCTTTGCACTTCTGGGGTGTATTATATACATGCTAGATATACATACATATATATGTATATTTGTATATATCCCAAACTGCTCTCATAACAACATCACCCAGGCCACGGCCACGGCGGCCTGGCCTTGGCAACCAACCGGTAGGATGCTCAAACCAGCCTCACAGTTTTCTTTCCACACTATCAACTAATGTACCTACGGAGGTGGTGCAACTGTCCATTTCGCAGATCAAAGCAGGTGCTTTGGGCTTCGCCGGCCTCCCTGAATCCCCATTCGCCCAATCTGATCGCACTGCCAGGGCACTTGGCACAAAGGCCAGCATGCTGCTCGGCCCCGACGGCGCCCAACGCTGCAAGCACCGCCGCCTCCGGTCCATCCAGGCACCGTCTGAAAAAAGATCCGACCGGTGACCGGTCCAACCCATTATTGTGCCTAGTAAGTCCCTCTTTGGCAGCTACGCCTAGTTTTTGGCGGCACTTGTGCACACATCTGCCAATCATCTACCTCCAGAAAACCATTGGTGCAGCTTTCATCGAGTGCCAGCTGGGCCCCCTGATGATCCAAATCCGGTCGCGTCCTGTCACCCCGTCTGGGGACCGCCTTGGCGTTCTCGTCACGCGTGCGTTCCAAACACATGGCCAAGGTGTCACCATAGCCCAAGGCTTGTGGCCCAAACTCCGCCAAGGCCACCGCCGCGGCGATGCAGACCTCTGGGCTTCTGTTCCTGGGAGTGCGGAGTGCCCGGTCGAGGGCTTCGGACCAAGGGAGCTTGGAGAAGCTGGTAGACACACAACTCACACCAGTCTCCTGAAACTGTCAGGAAAACCTCCCAAACCTTCTCCACACCAAAACTTCACCCCCCTACCACCACCTTGGGCTGAGTCCACTCCCATGCGCCCACTACGCCGAGGCACAATCCACTGGCCACGGCCCCCATGTGCTTGGCACCTTCCGGGCCGAAGTCGCCCAGCGTCCGAAGGGCCGCGGCCGCCACTTCGTCGTTGTGGTCCTTCGTCAGGTTCGCCTTGGTTTCGTCGCGCGCGCGCGACACAGAGGGGCCGCGGGGGTGGGGACCGTCGGGCCCGGCGGGGAAGCCACGGAAGGAACGGGCTTGCAACAGGGCGGTGAACACAGTAAGGATGACCACGTTGCTGGAATGGTCCCGCCATGTGAAGGTCGTGGTGCTCCAAATTCCGGTCGTGGAGAACAAATTCCCGCAGCTTTTGGGTGAGGAACCAAAGGTCTGGAAGGTCTGTTCGTGTTCCAATGCCTTCACATCCAGAAGTTCCAAGCTGGAACTGGAGCTCTCTTTTTGTTAGCCCCTTCATGTACTCCCGAGCCCTTTCCCTGCAAAATAGGCATGTCTTTCCCTTTTTGGATTTTAGTGGGAAAACAAATCCTCCCAAAAGCCCCAAAAGTTTCCAAGGTTATTCACCTTTTGCGGGTGGGTGTAGGTGGGGTTCGTCACACACGTCACTTCTGTCCCAGCCACCACTTGGGATGCGAAGCCAAAATCTGCCGCGGCCTTTGGACCTCGACCGCCCAGCTCCACCAGCCATTGGACCTCTCCAATCGCACATCTGAACGCGGAGGATGTCTCGGGCGACAAGCCAAGCACCCAGGCCCACTGATGTTGAGTTCAGCGCTTGGATTTTGGGAGGGTGCGCTGGATCGAAAATGAGTGAGTGTAGGCTGAAAATGCTTTGGCAGGTCATGTTCCGGCTCCCTGTCCAAGAGCCATGTACACTCACAAATTGCAGGTGTATGTACATAGTACTCCTGGAGGTCATCTATCTTTATGTGTATATATATATATACATTTACACGCCATGCTCTCCCAAAACAAGACCTATATTATATATGTGTGTGTGCGTTGATAAGTACCGTATCTAATATAATATACCTATGAGGCCTGGCCTCTCATTTGTGAGCAGGGTGCCCTAGACCGACCGAACCACACCGCCTGCTCTTCGGCTCTTGCGGAGCGCTCGGAGCGCTGCAGGCTCTGCTCTTTCACGAACTTGGTGAGCTTATCCATAGCGCCGTTCGAGGGGCCGCGGACGGGCGCGGACGGGTCTCGCGCGCCCGCACGATGCTAGCAGCTGCGAGAGGGTTTTAGGGTTTGAGAGCTTCACAGAATTATCCAGTGCCATCCCCTCAGCCAGGGAGCCTCTCCGGTCACAAAATTCCGCTTCGGCCAGTTCTCGGACAAAAGCAATCAGGATAGTTTTGCAATCCCTCATTGTGATGCAGCGGCCAGATTTACCCTTTCAAGGGGAGGCATTGACGGACAAAGGAGCGTGCTGCAAAACCATGAACAAGTCCGCTGTGAAACCAACATGAATCCCATGAGCTGTCATCTTAAAGTATATTCAGAGCGGGACAACTGCCAGAATCCAGAACACAAAGATTCCCTACAGGTCGGAGACCTCATTGTACCGGAGTGCGTTATTTTAAAAAAAGACAGAGTACTCAATGAGGCTTTCAGGATCAGGTTTGACTGGGTCTTTGGACTGTGGACCTGTTGGGATCGTTGACAGTTGTTCGAAATTGTTGCGGATTTGATCCTTCTCTCTCTCTCTCTCTCTGTGTTGAAGCCTGTCATCTTAGGCGCCTTCGCAACTGCCGTCTTGTCATGCCAAAGGTCACAGGGCCTGCCGGGCGGTCACAGGGCCTACCTTGTGTCTCGAGTGTCTCGAGTGTCTCCTTTTTACATGTGTCTCGGTGGTTTTTATCGTGATGAGTGATGATTGATAAGGTTCTGCAGTTGTACATGCTACCCATGAGCACACTCATGTTGAGTCACCCATTAGCCCATCGTCAGACAAAAGAAGTCAACCTTCCGCATGGGTGATCCCTTTTCGTGAGAAGGAACTTGTCATGCCAGGCGGGCTGCTTACTTGGTAACCCTTTCATGATCCATCAAGTGAACACTTGTGCTGACCGCACCAAGTGACATGCATGTTTTGCCCATGTTGCGTGCATGACATGGCACATCCCTCTACCATCTCTAGTGGTTTGTCAGCCTTCGTTTAATGCTGTCCAGCTGTGAGCAACTCTGAAGCCTCTTCGCTAAACTCAGTATATTAGATCTCAACATCTCCCCAATCAATCACCATGAGGGCACACCATGAAAGAGAGTTCAACTCAGTAAACGCATCCATGCAACATACCCCTCGATTCAATTGCGACATGCTGGAACCGAGCACATTTTTCGGCAGTGTGAAACGCAACGCCCACATCTTTTGGGAAGTGAAGCGGGAAAGAAACCAATTCCCACCCAAAAAATAAAGGATGTTAAAGGATATCCTCTGACAGATGTAGGGGCCCATTTCTCAGTCCAGCAAAAAATGGATTTCAGACCGTGGGGCCCTATATAGGTCTAAGGTCTGATGTGGAACCGGTTGAAAAATTGTGTGGTTTCATGGTCGGGTTCATCTTGCACCGGCTGTGCATTTAGAAAGGAAGTCTACCAAGTGCAGAAGCACCTGCATTAGGCTGAGCACAAATCGAGAAGTCGATCCACATGCGGCCTTTTTGGAACACATGTTTCCCCACTCACCTGCTTCCACTTCTTGACGCACCGGAAGGGTTTTCCGGCTGACCTAAAACCTAAACCATGTGGATCCTTTCTCATGGAACACATGGGAACCTCCGCAGATCGAAAAACGTGTGGAGCCATGCAGGGCCTGGCCACTTTCATGGTTTCTTCTGCCTCCTGCAAGGCCGCAAAGCGGGCCGAACGATCGGTTGAGGGTCTCATCCCTGTGGTGGAAGTCATCTACCGACGGCTTTCGCTGCTACCCCTACAGGTGGGAAACCTTTGGACACCAGAAACAGAGGCAACTTAGCATAGAATCATGATTGATGCCAACAAGGCCCGACAAATCGGGCCTTTTTGAAAGGAACCGTTGTTCTCCCAGAAGGTCTTGCCATGGAAAGGTGTTTGGGGAATCTTGGTCAGGTTTCCGGCGCCGAAGTCCGGTGCACCGCTCACCGCTGGGCCCGCGAGGTCCCAGCTAAACCTGTGGATCGACTGGTCCGAGGCTGCCAAGGTCGGCCTTTTTGCCCCCTGAGCGAAATCCAGCCATGAGGGCGAGTCTTTACATAAAAGTTGCGGACGTGTATTCTGTACACGCCGCGTAGGGTTCGCCTTCCCAACCGGGCAAAGCAAGTCGGAGAACGACCAATTTTGCAGGACGCTTCACACTAACCTTTTTGAAGGGCTGCAACCCGCTCTTGTGCCGGACAGGGAAGCACCCAAAGGACACTGGAAGGATCCAGAATTGAAATGCCACTCACAAACACGTTTCAAGAATTGATTGACAACAGTTCTGGGGTCACTTTGGCTTAACACAAGTGCCCCTTTCCAGAAATGTTTGCTGCGTGCATTCTGGTCGGAAAAATCTCAAAGCCCTGAGAAAGCAAAGCGGCCGCGTCTTTCATCGCAAAAAGGGCATGGCCCAGGTGGCCATCTTAGGTGCACACACTTCAGAAACGGGGTAGATTTGATCCAAGATGCGAAGCGTTGGGAACCGAGTAATTCAAAAGACTGAAAGGTTCAAAGCGCTGGAGATTTCACTGGTCTATTTCAGAAGGGATCGCGTGGATCGGCTTGGCTCCTTAGCGGTCTCATCGTCACCAGGTCAGCAGCAGGTCATCAGCGCTTCCTGCAGTGCGACCACGCTTGTCCAACAGAGCGTTCTCGGCTATGACGTAGAGGGACTTGGCGTCAATCGCTTGCTTCACCTGCAACTTGGCGACCCCCTTGCAGGCAGAACCTGGCGAAAGAGCTCCGCGCAGAAGCACCGCAACCTATGATCAAGACTCAAATCTTCGGCGCAAATGTACGGACCTGAACTTCATGATCAGCTTCCTGACCGCCGGGTCCTTGACCAGAACTCCTGACCAACTGGCCAAACGGCCCCAACCGCTCAGCCATGAGGCTGGCGCTAGCGAAAGCTGATGGAACTATTGAATCTGCTGTCTCACCTTGAAGCTTGGCAGGTCCGTCTGCACACTGCAGGCACGAAAACAAAACCGCGACCGGCCAAGATGGCAATGAACACGTCCGTAAGCTGCTTGTCCAAGACGCCGACTGCAAGGCGGCCTCAAATCAAACAAATAGGAACCTCAAATCAAACCGTGTCCAGCTTCTGACCCATGAGCTCATTGCTTGCTAGAGAGGAGATGCTGTTGGTTGACTTGTTGGTTGTTAAAAGAATGTTTGTACCCAACGGGGCCAATGGTGTCCTGATCAAAGTCAGCATGTCCAAACTCAAACGGCCGAACGCGTGAACACTTTCCATTTGGGGTTTCAACCACAGAGTGCTACAACATTACTTCTGACATGTGGTGTCCATGGGGTTGGTGTGCGCGGGGGTGTTGCTGCTGAAGTCACTGCTGCCCTCAGAAATTTACGTGAAGTAGGTGACGTAGACGGGTTCAGGGGCGTCCTTGGATTTTGTCCCATGACGCACGACGGCCAACACCATTTTGGCAGGAGCGTTTCAGACGGTGATGGCTTCAAACCTTTGTCAAAATTCGGACCTTGTTGGTCTGAGCTCTGAGGGCATTCGGGATCATCATTCCATCGTGCAGCGGCGCAATGCAACTTGGCCTTGCATTGCGCCAAGCTCTTGCTCCTACCAAATTTGCGGACTAGCGTCGGGCCTTGCAAGCGACGGGCTAGCCTGGTCATGAAGTGTTCGATATTCTCGCCGGACTTGGCATCTTCATCTGGCTTTTGAGTGAGCTTGTCAGCTTGTTCAGCACTGAGACTGCCACCTTCATCAGGGCCAGCTTATTCTGCTTCCAGCTCGCCACCCCCGTCCTCTGGAGTCATTTGCGGCCTTGGTGATGCTGCAACTGAAAGGGGTCTGGTGCTTTGACCTTTCCTTTGCCCTTGACTTCAGGTCGATTTTGAGGACGGCCGAACTCGTCCACATACTGGTGCTTCAGGAAGACGCCCTTGACCGCTGCAAGGTCTCGACCTGTGAGTGAGAGGTCGCAGTGCTGCAGCTCCTCTCCCGCTTTGCCCCGCAAGGAAACGAACAGGGTCACGGCGATCTCATTCGGACAGAGGTATAGGATTCCATTGCCCTCGTTGGTCTCGAGCGGCTCGGAAAGAGTCCAGCGCCCATCAGCCTTTGAGCCCATCGCCGAAAAGGCTCCGCGCGACCAACTCACAGAAGTGCTTGCTGTGCGCACGCTGGGTCAAACAAATCTAAAAGCCCTGAGAAAGCAAAGCGGCCGCGTCTTTCATCGCAGAAAGGGCATGGCTCAGGTGGCCATCTTAGGTGCACACAGTTCAGAAACGGGGCGGATTTGATCCAAGATGAATGCAAAGCGTTGGGAACCAAGTGACGCAAAGAACTGAAAAGGTTCAAAACAGTGGAAGTTTTGCACTGAGTAAACTTGTTGGAATGGTCTCTGCGGTATGAAGTTTTGCAAGTGACTCGGAGCTAACCTGCGCAGTGGAGCCACCCGGTTCTTCTGTGGCTTTCCACCACTGTCCATGAGTACTTGGTCCATGGTTCAGTTGATGGCCCCACATTTCGGTGTGCCCACAGCATCAGCTGATTCCTGGCTGCTGCAGGATGTAGGAAGTGCACACACTTGTTGTAAGAAGGTTTTGCTCCCCGATCGGGTTCCATGGAAGCTGTGCAAAACTCGGGAGGCGCGGCCATGCTTCAGGCGTTGCCGCGTCCCCGAGGATTCGGCACCGAGAGCGATGTCCTTGACGCCTGGTGTCAGAGCGGGTAGGGAAAATCTCCGTGCCGTTTCCTTCCAAATGAATCCGAATGATAAGGTTTGCCCATGGAACACAAGGTCACCTCAGTAATCTGAGAAAACCCTACCGCTACCCCTACCGTGCAGTCAAGGTGCTCTGAGAAAAAAAGTTCTTGGCTGTTTACAGTCAAAGCCATCTTCAAAAAGTCATACCAACGTTCAACGAGCAGAACGGAGCTGCGCTGGTCCCGCGAATGGGAGCTCCGCTCGAGCTGGCTTGCAACTGAGGCAAAACGCGAATTGCATGCCACTTCGAACCAGGCGCGCTGCATCAAACGGCTGCCAACTCCAAATAATTGAAACTACATCCAAGAACACTCAACAAAATACGAAGCCCTCGTCTGACTTGGGGCGCTGGTAGGGCTGAGCACACTTCCAGCCAATTCTGACACTGGTTCGCAGGCATCAGCTGATACTACATATTAGGATTTGGATATTAGTTTTTGCCGTACCGGTACCGGAAGGCTGCACAAAGCGAGCATGGAGCGGGACATCAAAACGCATTGCTTCTTCCTTCTACCTGAAAAGACATGCTCCGTGGGGCGCTTGCCACTGGCCCCTGGCACGAAATCGGCGATGTGAAACAAGTCTTGTTGTGCACTTGCCAACATGGCTCTAACACCAAACGCGAGCACTGCGCGGCAGTGCAGCAAGAGAGCACATCGGACACACACACACACACAGATCCACTACCCCACAATGACGTTCGACGCGGCACTGTGTTGCTAGAAGGAACTGTGCTCAAGCCAGCCACACGCAAGCCGTCGGTAAGAACTAAAGAACCTATTGTGAACAGTCGCGAAAACGACCCAGGTACATATACATCACGATTTGAACGCATTGGCTGCAGTTTTCGTGCATCCGACTTGTGCGCAGGAGCACCGCAGAGAGTTGCACCATGTTGCACCAGCACCAGACGGACTTGTGTTTCACTACAGGTTAAACCTCATGCACAATCTCCGCAAAGGATGAACTTCAAAACTGCAAGCAAGTAGACGCATCACATCTAATGATCTACTACAAGTGCCATGTATGCCAAGTGTGAGCCTGCAAGCGTCGCATGCAAGTGCAAGAAAGAGGTGCAAGCGAGGCCGCAGCCAGGCATGACATGCCAGCAGGGAGCACTGCAATGCAACTGCAATGTGAGTGTTGTCCATGCAATGCCGCGTGTGGCTATGACATGCGCAGCCATACACCAAGTCTTTCGTACACTTGGTGACCGATCCCACAAGTAGGTTGCTATTATTGGTGGCCAAGCGCCGGCACGACGTCTCCCTATGGGGTTGACTCAGCAGTCTACATTTAAGCGCTGTCTCATCCTCCACTCCATGCTCACGGGCGCTCCCGGCTCCCTCAGTCGGGGGTGTGCTGGTTGCCCTCAGTCCGGGTCACACGCGTCACCTCACCAGGTTCTAAAACACCCTCTTGTCCGGCGGATGGGAAGTAGCCCTGCAGGATCACACGAGCCTTGGCGGGAGGACAGAAGGAGACCGAACCGAAGCTTCACGATGCTCCACGAGAAGCTTCGTGTGGGCACGGTGCGGACATGGTGGCCTACCATCCGGAGGGTGAGCAAAAAAAGGGGTCATTCATCTGATGGTTTTTGCCTTTCCGTCAACTCCCGATGTGAAAAGAGCGGTGGAGACACGAGTTCGTCCCTCGATCGACTCTGCACAAGAATCTGCTGCGCCAAAGCGGCATAATCATGTTTACGTGCTTCTCTCTGCAAGGCATCGTGCAGCGTCTCCTCCGATTCCTCCTCAAAGCACCGCTCGATTCCTCGGGACGTCTGCCGGCAGGTCCAACTGCTTGCGCAGCAAGAGAGTTTGCATAGGTGGGCGTGCCAAAACAGAGGCGAACGCGCTCAACAGATGATGTCACGCGAACCAACTCGCCTAGTCCCTCGCTGGGACGAGCCCGACCCGT